TCCTAAGACCAGAGATAGATTGGAAGTTATCTATTTTTTATATCTTTTTTCTTTTTCTTTTTATCTCACTTTTTCTTTTCTCTTTCTTTATATTTTGTATTTCCAATTTTCTTTTTCATTTCTAACTTTTACATTTGTAACTTTAAAATTTCAATAAAGTATTATTAGAATAATCTTTCAATGATTGGGCCGGATCCTAAGCAGAGGAATCGTCCTTCTGAGCCCCAACACTGAACCCCAAAGGGCTCGAAGATCAGAACTGGATCTCCCCTGCCACATGCCCCAGGCAGGATCTCCCACAACCCAAGATTTCTCTCAAACAAGCCAGGGCTGATGAGCTCCATCGTTCGCAAAGGGGCGCAGAAGCTGACCTCTCCCTTCCCCCTTTGCCAGGTGTCTTCCCTCGGGAGCGGCAGCGACCACGTCATGGACGCCATCTCTCAGTGCGAGCAGTTTGCCAAAGAACAGGGTGCCCAGGAACGCAATGCCCCCTGGCGACTCTTCTTCAGGAAGGAAATCTTTGCCCCCTGGCACAACCCAGCTGACGACTACGTGGCCACGAATCTCATTTACCAGCAAATTGTCAGAGGGGTGAAGTTTGGGGAGTACCGGTGCGATAAGGTAAACCGCTGGCCCTTGAAGTCGCTGCTGCCCTGTTCAAAATTCAGGGCAAGCTGAAATCGTGGATAAACTAAAACTCTGTTCCTAAGATGGGGGTGGGTTACCGTTGGTGCTGAGAGAGGGAGGGGTGGGAGCTTGGGGATGGTGGGGTGGGCTGTGTCCGAGGAGAAGGGTTGTGGTGCCAGGTTTTTGTGGTATTGTGTTTATGGAGTTTTCATTTTGTACTGCTGCTGTGAGCCACCCAGAGTTGTGTCTCTTAAGATGGGTGGCCATATCATCCAATCAATCAATAGTCAATCAATCAATCATAAGTACAAGACTTCAGAACTGGAAAGGGCCACTTTGAGCAACAATGTTATTATTATTGTTATTGGCTGCCCACTCCAGGAGAGTGGTGTCATGGTGAAGGTGTTCAATTAGGACTGGGGAGACCCAGGTTTAAGCCCACCCTGAACTGTAGAAACCCATCAGGTGACTCTAAGCCACTCACGGTCCTTTAGGCCAGCCTACCTCACAAGGTTATTGTGAGGATAAATTCAAAAGAGCCCCATGTGTGAGTAGAGATGGGATGTAAATCTAACAATAAGTTTGTTTAATAAAAGGGGATCTCTAACCCTACGGAAGATTGAATTCTCTGTAAAGTTAAACTCATTCCTCCTACTGTATTTGCAGAACTAAAAATTTCAAAGTAAAAAACTTATTAGGTTTCTACTTCTCGCAGCCAAATTAGCTATTGTGAAATAACGGAAATATATACATATGACCTCAGTGGCCGGATGGCATGATGAGATCTGGTCTGCAGCTTTGCTTGAGAAAGTCTCTGGTCGAATCCAGCTCCCGCACACTACAGGAATCCACAGATGTTCTCTTCTGTGGCTGCTTGAGCACATATTATGGGTTTGTCCATTTGGGCATGTGCTTTCTCGGATTTCTATCCTGCCTTTCCTCCACCACTTCCTCCGTTGGGATAATTAAAAAGTCCTAACTCCAACACCACCATCCCTTATCTTTTCTCAGGATCCCTTCAGTATCTCCTTTTCAGTTTCCAGTCCCTGATCCTCCTTGTTGCACTCTGTGACTCTTATTGCCCTTTTTATGAATTTTATTTATTTGTTTGTTTGTTTGTTTTTCACATTTGTCACCACCCATCTCACCACAGAGTGACTCTGGGCAGTTGGCAGTAAAAACAGAATAAACATTAGTTAGAATAGATAAACATTAATTAATTAATTAAAATACGCTAAAAACAAACTTCTCACATTCATACTTCCAAGAGGCTGGTGTTAATTAGGTGTTAATAAACTCAGGGAGCGTCATCAAGGTGCCAGCCATCCCCAGGGTCGGTTGTATCTTTCCTCGCCCCGCGCAAGTTGGCAGAGCCAAGTCTTCAATTCCCT